CACTGCAGGATGTATGTGAGGCCGTAGCTTGTAGTACTTGCTTCTATTTAGGAGTGTGAAGATTGAGGAAACAAGTGCCTCAAGAGTTAATGACAGCCCTGGTATAGTGTATGTACTAAAAGCATGGTTAAAGGGCTAATTCTAACTTTCTTAAGTTCACACACCTGGTAAAAAATGTATCTTTTTGTTCTGAAGCAGATGATGGGGTGGAACCATCCACATCATGAGCAATCTGCTCTCCTCTAGGTGCATAATAGTTTGCACTATTTGTGTTTATTGATAACTCAAGTTCAACCTGTAGTCAAACAAACACAACCAACCAAAAAAGGTTTGAAATCATGAAATATGGCATGTGATAGTACACATATAGGGTTAGAAAGAATCCACTTTCAATACAAGTTCAAAAATGAACTTACAAGGCAATACAACACTGATTACTGAATCACATGAAACTTACAGCTACAGTCTCTGTGCACTTGTCTTAATGATCATATCATGTGCTCATTGGTCATTTACAAAACAGAAGCAGTTACTGAACAGCAAAACAAATATACATGTAGAAAAATGCAACTATGGTATGTGCGGCAAATAAAGAAGAGAAACCGGAAACTCATGTCTGCTGGAGAGGGGGCATTGTCAAAGGTCTTTGAAATGCCATGCTCCCATAAGTGACCATCCAAAATGTCACGCCTAGCTGGTCACAACCTGAGGTTCCACTGTATAACATTTTGTTGATGGAGGAGCTGTTACAATTTGAACACTCTTTTGGTGCCTTTGTGACTGCACTGCTAATAACTTCTGAAAATGGAATATTTTTAAGTCTGTTGATCTACTTCTCACACTGAATTCAATTCCCACATTGAATTTTCTTAAATAGACAGCTTAATGAGGATCTTGTCTACTATTATCAGCACCTCTACCTCATCATATATCAGTGATGGAGGCTGTCTAGATTTCTTACCTTCTGCTGCTCTGGCTTAATTCTTGCTCCAATATGAGGTATATTGTCATAAGGTATATCACCAGGACGTACCGGGTACTAAAACAAATATGAGAAGAAATTCCATTATTAAATTTTATCATGTGAACTCTTTTACCAACAGGCATATGATTGATAGAACAGTACAATTCCATGGTTCTTTAAAATAAACTTTTCTCTTGGGACTTCAAGTGGTAAGACAGTACTGTCCATGTACACACTGTACATACATAATCCTCTTCGTATTTAAGTGACACATAAGGTTACAGATCACCAATATCCTTGTCAAAGCCAACTAATAGTTAAAAAGGTTATGCCTAATATCACTGGGTGTTAGAAGGCTTAACTGTTTTTTCTTTCTTTTTTAGAATCTACCGCAAACCCATTAATGGTTTTATGGCAGATTCTTTGATCTGTCCTGGCTAATTTTGTGTGAAATTCTTTCATATACGTCAAGTACAAACACCATTTATGTTACAGAATTCAGCTCTGCCTACAGTGTGTGTAAGTAACAAGTGCTGGGGTCACCTTTAGTATTTCTGTTAACTTGGTGTTATTGCTTCTTAAGTGTATTGTTTGTTCTTCTATTTCAGTTTTTGTAAACTGGTACATGAGGACAGAGCCCATTGCTTTGATTTTTGCATTATCCTTGCACATGGAGCAGTTATAAAAATTGAAAAATCAAGAGGAGGGGTATCACATGGTCTTTGCGAGCATTTGCGTGCAGGCAAGCAGTCCATTTATTTTTGTGAGCAAGAGCAGTGATTAAATTTGTCTTGTGAGCAATGAGAACTTTGGAAAATACCCATAGCGAGCAGTGAGAACTTCGGAAATTTTACACTAAGCAGAATCTCTTATTTGTTTTAAAAAAGGAAACATTGTTTTACACCAAGTAATCTGGCTGACACCTCCAAAACTCAGCAATAGGCGCAAAACAAGGCAAAACATTGAGATCTTATCGCAGTTCAACCAATCCCAGCAGCTTACAGCCAATTATACTTTGTTTGATGCTGTTTGATGCCAAATTATGTCACATAGCTTCACTTGAGTCAGAGGGTGGAAGCTCAAGGAGATCCAAAGTTTTCTAACCCAACCAGTAACCAACATCGTGAACACACCACGAGAAGAAGCTAAAAGCTACCACACTTTGAAGCAGGATTCACAAAATTGGTAGCAATCAAGCACATTTTAATGAGAATACGAGCATGCGAGCAGTTGCAAAAATTCTGCAAGCATGAATGAGAAAGCACTCATCTAATTTTTGTGAGCAGTTCCAGCAAAGGCCAAATTTTGCAAGCACTTTTAAATATAATGGGACCATTCGATACCCCTTAGAGGATTTGAATGAAAAAAGTTCCTGGAAGTATTGATGCCTTACCATTCAACAACTTTGTGTGCAAAAAATACAACATCCTCCTCAGAGGGTATTAAAAACTTCTGCTCCCACCTATGCCTATGGCTACAACTGAGCTCAGAAGGCGGAAGAAAGAAACCTTAAACAGCTCTCAATTCTCTCAAGCAAAGATTGTTAGTAAAACTTATGGCTTATCGCCGTCAGGAGCAGACTTAAATTTCGAAGGAAATATCTTTAGCGGAGTTCAAACTAGTGGAGTTCCTTTATAACTTGACTAACATGAGCTAATTCGTAATACTAAATTTCCATGAGAAAGTTTCAAGGAATTTCTGCATTGATTCGTACGTTTACCATACGTCTACATGCAGTAATACCTGAAACAAGTAGAGCTTGTTGGCCAAAGTCTGGGCCAAATAAACGTCCACCTATGGAAGAATTAGAAAGATCTATGCCTTATAAAACTGCTCTCTTAGTAAATGGTGGAAGTTTGTTTACAATCATGATATAGCAAACCTCCGCCACGACCGGGTCTTCTTCTTCATCCTCCGCCATGTTTTTTCACCATCATGCTTGGGACATGCGCACTTACCACGTGCGGAGAAGCTTCGAAGCTCGCCCCAGGCCTGTGATTGACAATCGCTTGTTTTTGCCCAAATTTTTCTCTTGTTTTCACTGATTTTCTTGAAATTAGCAAATTAAAGACAGCAAAGCTTGATCTGCAGTGTTTAACTTTCAAAAAGATATTGTCATAGACCTTTGTTGTTGAAATACATTGCAAGTCTTGCAAGATTAAGAATATCACGCAAACAGCAGTGATAAACATTGTATTCCAACGCATTTCAATACAGAACTTGACGTTCCGTATGCTAGTATACATACATTTTCAAAAGTGACTGTTACAATCTTTTGAAAACCATATATATTGTAAAAATGAGAGGTCTGGAACCTAGCCTGAGAAAAATGATCTGCAACAGTACGTTTAGCCTGCGAGCATGCTCAAGTTGGAGCACACCTGACTCCTTCCCTCCGGATCGCGGATCACTCACGGTTTCTGGTAAACCAGGCTAATAGGACTCGACAAAAATCGTCTCGATATAATGTGTGCTCGATATGCAACGAAGACGTGACTGGTTTAAAAAACCAGGCTCTTTCTTGAAGCGTTCGGAAAACGAGACATGTTTTGACGGAAAACTCTTCAAAGAAGACTCGTCGGAAGACTCGTTCGGAGTGTTCGGAAAACGAAACTTGTTAAAACGAGACTCGTTTGGAATAACGCGACTCGTTTTGAATAACGAGACTCGTTTGGAAAAACGAGACTCGTTTGGAAAACGAGACTCGTTCGGGAA